CTGTAGTCCCAGCAACTTGGGAGGGTGAGACAGGAGAATGGCTTGAACCTGGAAGGAAGAGGCGCAGTGAGCCGAGATGGTGCCACTGCACTCCAGCCTGGGAGACGGAGTGGGACTCTGTCTTAAAACAAAACAAAAAAACCCTTTTACCAGCAACAGAATTAACCAAATGGCTTCTGGGGTCAGGGACGGTTTTCCATTCAAACCCTCTCTCCCCACATGGCTGGTGGAGAAGGAGATGATGAATCCAGCCAAGATGAAGCGTCTACACCCTGCTTCCTGCCCCAGCCTGGTGTCTACAGCTAGCAGGGTAGGAGGTGGAGGAGGATTCTTAAGGGTGAATGTCAGAGCAATTCCTCTCGCTGGAGCAGGGCAAGAAGAGATGGGCTTCATCTGGTTTTGGCAGACTCATTTGCAATTTGCCTTTACAACACAGGAAGCTGTTCCTGGCTTGGGGAATTGATTTACCCAATGAAAGTGACATTAAAAAACAGATCACTGGCCGGGCACAGTAGCTCATGCCTATAATACCAGCAATCTGGGAGGCCGAGGCGAGTGGATCATGTGAGGTCAGGAGTTCGAGATCAGCCTGACCAATATGGTAAAGCCCTCTCTCTATTAAAAATACAAAAATTAGCCAGGCATGGTGGTATGCGACTGTAGTCCCAGCTACTTGAGAGGCTGAGACGGGAGAATTGCTTGAACCCAAGAGGTGGAGGTTGCAGTGAGCTGAGATCACACCACTGCACTCCAGCCTGGGCGACAGAGTGAGACTGTCTCAAAAAAACAAACAAAAGCCAGACCACTTCTCTCATGCATCTAGAACCTACGTTCTCAACAGGGGTGAAACAGCCTCCAAGGGGTGAAAATTCTTGCTGTTCTATGTATAAAGCACTGACAGATGGTACGTCTGTGATATTAATATTTCATGAGAGGGCGGTTAGGGAAAAGGTGTCTAAAAAGCTCCTCAGGGAGTAATGATGAATAAAAGGTTGAGAAACTGCTCTAAGATAAACCCAAGCGTTTGGACACTGGGTCCAACAACCCAGCAGCCAGAGGCAGTGCCCCTGGTCTACTTGGGAGCCAGGAAACAGGCAGGTGGGAATTAGGGTCAGGGAGCAGTTTTGCAACAGCGATACCTGCAGGCAAAGGACACTGCTCTTCCTTGCCGTGGTGGACGCCTGTTATTTTTTAGTATGGAGGTAACGCCCCTGGTGGACCCTGCTTTCCGGCCAGAAGCCAAAGCGGGCTGACATTCCCCGTCCTCTCTGGTGGCTGTAATGCCCAGGTGGAGAGCACCTGCCCAGGACTCTGAATCTGGGCTGCAGCAGCAGGGGAAGGGGCACAGGGCCACTGTGCAGAGGAGGCAAGGCACAGAATGGACGCTTAGTCCACAAACAGTTTGGGGAAGTCGTCCTCAGTTTGCAGACTGATCTGGAAGCCCGAAAAAACTTCTGTCCACTCTATAGGACACCCCTTGCTTCGGCGGTGTTGGAATGACCTTGACAGTCTTTGCCATTCTGGTTCCCCCCTCTGCGTAAGACGGAGCGCCCATGGCCCCATCTGCTCTACCCAACCCTAAACAATTAAGTCACTAACTCACCCTTGTTGTGTCAGTTACAGCCTTTCCTAAAAAACTGAAGTAAATACTTATTTTTTTTAGAAATTTCATCCAAAATAATGGTAGTTGACTAGGCATAGTGGCTCACACCTGTAACCCCAGCACTTTGGGAGGCCAAGAGGGCAGGATTACTTGAGCATAGGAGTTTGAGACCAGCCTTGCTAACATGATGAAGCCCTGTCTCTACTAAAAATACAAAAATTAGCCAGAAATCCCAGTTATTCAGGAAGCTGAGGCGACAGGATCACTTGAGCCCGGGAGGCAGAGGTTGCGGTGAGCCGGGACTATACCACTGCACTGCAGCCTGGGTGACAGAGGGAGACCCTGTCCCAACAGACAAACACATGATGGTAGGACTGCTGCACTCTGGGAATACTGCTTTATATGTTCTTCATGAAAGGTAATTTTCTTATTTTTTATTTTTTTATTATTTATCTATTTATTTTTAAAGACGGGGTTTCACCATGTTGGTCAGGCCGGTCTTGAACTCCCCACCTCAGGTGATCCGCCCGCCTTGGCCTCCAAAGTGCTTGGATTATGGGCGTGAGCCACCGTGCCCGGCCGAAAGGTAATTTTCATTAGAAGCAAGACTGTTGGCCTCTCTAGAGCCGAGATCATGCTACTGCACATCAGCCTGAGCGACAGAGGAAGACTCTGTCTAAAAAAGAAGAAAAAGGACCAGGCGTGGTGGTTCACGTCTGTAATTGCGGCATTTTGGGAGGCTGAGACAGGCGGATCACGAGGTCAGGAGCTCAAGACGAGTCTGGCCAGCATGGTGAAACCCCGTCTGTACTAAAAACACAAAAATTAGCCAGGTGTGGCAGTGCTCGCCTGTAATCCCAGCTACTACTTGGGAAGCTGAGACAGGAGAATTGCTTAAACCTGGCAGGTGGAGGTTGCAGTGAGCCACTGCACTGCAGCCTGGGCAACAGAGCAAGACTCTGTCTCCAAAAAAAAAAAAAAAAAAAAAATCCCATTGTTTTCAGCTGTCCAGCAGAGGGTCCCTTGTTTGCAGCGGCCCAGGACACTGATACAGAGGACTCTACAGAGGACCCCACGTGAGGGAAATGTGCTGGGGAATGACCCTGGGTGCAAGCACCTTGCAGGAGACACTGTAGGGTCGTAACGGCCAGCATGGCTTGGCTGCAGGTATGTGGGGTTACAAGGGTCCCCAAAAGGACTGAGCTACAGCTGACCTGGGGCCGGACCAGGGCTGATGGCCCAAGCCCAGGCCTGTCTGGACAGAGCACATGAAGCGCGTCACCACTGGAGCCTGAACGCCTGCTCTTCAGGGGACATGCTGGCCAGTGCACACTCTAAGAGCTATTGGAGGTCCTCAGCGGTCACCTGCCCAGCCTCCCGTCCCAGAACACGCCCGGGCACCCTAGCTTTGGAGGTGAGCTGTGTCCCCTGCCGTGCCCCTGCCTGAGACCCTCTCTCCCCTCCTGGCATCAACACAAAATCCCACGAATCCATCTAAATCATTTTAAAATGTTTTAAAACTCTGCACTGTTTCCAGCATATAAAAAAGTACTGCAAATGATGTAACAAATGTCAGCATGCCCACTGCGCGAATTCAACCATCTTGACATTTTGCGCTTCAGGTTTCTTTTTAAGGAAAGGAGAGCAGATGGCGCCTCTTGGTTCTCTTCTGTCCCTTTTCCCTCCCTCTCAGGCCAGATATTTTTAAAATCATTTTTAAATGATTTTTTTTTTTTGAGGCAGGGTCTCGCTCTGTTGCCCAGGCTGGAGTGCAGTGGCGTGATCATGGCTCACTGCAGCCTTGAGCTCCCAGGCCCAAGCAATCCTCCCACCTCAGCCTCTCAAGTAACTGAGACCGCAGACGTGTGCCACCATGCCTGGCTTATTTTCAAATTTTTGTACAGACGGAACCTCCCTCCATTGCCCAGGCTGGTCTCGAACTCCTGGGCTGCCGTGATCTGTCGACCTTAGCCTCTGAAAGTGCTGGGATTGCAGCCCAGCCTAAAAATGATATTTTAAAAAACTTTGCCTACAAGTGGAAGTGTGTATAAACCGTATT